TGCGTATGGTTTGGGGAAATGTGTTGCTCTTAATTAAACAATTACCTCTTTTCATTATAGGGACACTTATTGTCGGCTTTTAAGATGAATGCCAGAGAATCGCTCCATTTTTTTAAAAAAGTGGATTATAGTTTCCTGTTCTACTTGCCTAATTTATATCCATTTTAGGAATAACGAACGCCGTGACTGACGAAGAGATGCATAGTGAGGCAGACGAGGGAATGGGTCTGGATCCTTCCCCTTCCAGGCACACGAGTTCCCTTCCGAGATTCTGCAGGGGTGACCGGGGCCCTCTGCATGTTTTGAAATGACACCTGTTATGTTGGGCAGAAGGGTGCAAGCTTTTGCGTTTCACAGCATTGTTCATCGGGCAGAATTCCTCCCACTTTTTTTTCTACTGCTCCGAGAGTCTCTCTCTCTCACTGTTCGGAAAGCGTGGATGGGGAGGAGATCACAACCGGCCCCTTCAGCCCTAGCTACAGGCAGTTTGTTTCAGAAACGGTCTGAGCACCATTTCCAATATCTCCTGTAGTGATTGGCTAAGAACACCCTCACCGTTTTGTCTCCATAAGACGGCTGGGTGAGCCGACGAGGGCCAGGGCCTCTGTACGTCTCCCTACTATGTTGTCATGAAATGGGTTTTTAAAATAAAACTGCTTGTTTCTAGGGAAAAGCCACTCTGCCTATGTTCAGAGACTTTCCATACCCCCCCACCCAGTCCTGTTTTTAGGAATAAGTGTGGAAGCATAACAGAACCCTAGAGCAACCAGGAAACGTGCCCTTCACCTGTTGAACATCTGCCCAGGCATCAGAAAAAGGCAGGGAAATTTTGTACTTGACATGTTTTGGAGGCGAAGGAGCGCCAAGCCATCCTCGGGTAAACGCTGCTCTCTCGTGGTGCAATTTGGAAACTACACCCTGGCTCTGTGTGTGTGTGTGGTGTTTTTTTTACAGGTCGTGCTGAATACTTTTGTGTGTGTGTGCTCCTTTTAAGAGGCAACCCCGTGTCATGCCCCCTTCTGAAAGTTTGATGTGAATGGATAGGGTGGAGTGATAAGTCATCTGGGTTGGGTTTTTTTTAAATCCTCCTCGATGCGGTGAATACAAAACGCTTAGCTCTGTGACACACTTTCTAACTACCTCTCGAATGGCATCCATCCTGCTAGGGACTGGAGGCTGCTGCTTATTCGGCGCTTGCCCGACCACCTCAACCACTGTGCCTTTTGAACCAGCCTTGGTTCGGATGGATTGCGTCCGATTCTTTTAAAATTGTTTTCGTTTTCCAGTTTTTCAGCCCATGACTGCCATTTATCATCCCATGGACTCTCGTCTCGTCTCCTCTTCCTGGGCAAACGCTTCCTCCAGAGAACGCACAGAGGCCAAACCGGTTGGTTTGCTTTGGCTTTTATTGCTAAATAAATAATTAGATAAAATGTTGTGCAAAATTTTTTAAAAAACGACAACACACAAACATATTCTTTTAGGAGAGACGTCCACCGCCTTTTGGTGGACGGAATGAAGTGCTCCTGTTTTTCTCTCTGCAGATTTAGCCCCAAACTGGGGGACCGGCCGAACTGTCCAAAGAGCTCTCTGGGCAGACACACTGACCACCGCTTCTCACTTTTTTTAAAAAACAGGCACCCATCGAGTGTCGTAGCCTCGCCAGCACAGAGAACCTCCAAACGAAACAGAGCCTCGTTGCCCCGTCTAAAGGCCTCCGTTTCTGAGCTGTACGGTTTCTGTGCATTTTTGCAGCTTTGTATCGGACACGTGATTTTGCATTCCGAGAATGTTTTCTGATCCTTGGTGTTTCTACAAAGGGAACTTTAGACCTCAAACGGATCGAAACTGGGGTGGTGGGGGTGGTGGATGGCTCTCTTGTCCGCTTTGAGTCCACTGAGACGAAATTCTGGTTTCGGCAGCCGCTCTGGAGGGAATCACAAAAGGGGCCTTTGTGGTCTTCTAGATGAAAGCGAGAGCGATATCCGTGCCTGAGCCACGTTCCGTGGCATCTCAAGGCTAGGTAGTGGGCCCGGGGGGGGGTCAGAGCTTGTGGGTCCCCCCTGAGAGTGCTTCTATATTATTCTGCCCTTGGGGGTTGGGGTGGGGGCTCCCGCACTGGTTAGACGTGGGAGTCCTCCTTCCGCCACGCCGGTGGGTGGGAGAGCTTGCGTTCGTGGATGCCGACACCGTCCAGGGGGACCACGACCTCCTCGGGCTGCGAGTTCTTGTTCAGCTCCACCACACGTGGCACCACCGTGGACCAGCGATCTGTGCCAGGGAAGTCAAGGGGGTGGGGGAGAGAGAAAGCCTCAGGCAGTGCAGGATCCTGGCCTCTTGAGGTCAGAACCCAAAGACAGGAGAACTAGACCCCATTTTAGGGAGGTTGGAAGACTGAACTCGGATCAAGAAATGAAAAAAGGAAGAAATAAAACCATTTATTTCAATGGTGGATTCGTTTTCTCAAATAAGCCGCTTGCTTCCCCCCCCCTTGGCCTTTTACCATCAATCCTGCCGCCGCTCCCCCCCCTTTTTGCCGCCCCTCACCTCTGCGCAGCCGGCCCACCGTGTGGGAGAAACCGTAGTACTGGTACGTGTCGTTCTTCCCGGGGTCTTCGTTGATAATGCCCAGGTTCTGGTTCCAGTGAGACCAGTTCACCTCATCCACCCTGAACAGAAGGGGAAAAAAATCACAGGTCAGGTAGGGGGGAAAAAAACAACCACCAAGAAGTCCTGTGGAGCCAGAAGAAGAATAAAAAATCCAGAGAGAAAGGTATTGGCACGCTGGAACATTTTTGGCCCCCTCGTTTTAAAAAGTAACTTTTCCAAAGTGAAGATCCGCCACGGGACGCAGCCCATTTCAGATCAGAACCCAATGTGGGGGCCTGCTCTGGGTTTAAACTTACTCCTTAGTAAGTTTGGAGAGCTTTCCTCCGGCGCAATCCTTGTCCACCTGTCCTGGCAGAAGCAGCAGCGTTTTGGCCGCCTTTCCCTTCTGCCGGTCTTCCGAGGGGCTCCTCTCCTTCAGCACGTCCAGCCTTCGGCGGCTGCGCTCAACCAGCACAAACCCCCAAGGGCCCCGAGCTGAGTTTACCTGAAGCACCACCTGCGGTCAGGTGTCCCGTCGAGAGACTTGCCCACGGTCACCATCTCCCCCGAGCGGACGGCTTTCCGGATGAACACGGGGAAAGCCCTCTCAAAGTCCAGGATGGTGGTGGCCCACTGGGGGGGAGGGGGGAGAGAAGAGGGACACTGTGAAATCGCACTTCGCACGCGTCCACCTGCTCCAGGTGTTGTTGGGGACCTGACGGGATGTGGGGCACAGTCTGTGCAGAGCTGACAGACCCCAGAGGCCAGACTCCTATCATTGATTGACATTTGTGTAAGGGAAACCGCCAAGACGTCTCTAAATGCATCAAAAACAACAAGAGTCTTGTGGTATCCAGAAGGCTGCACCACCTGGGCTATCTGTAAAGCCACTTCTGCCCAGGAGGTGGGCAAAGCGCACCTGGTCCGTCGGGAAAAAGGACAGGAGGGTGCGAGCCAAGGGCGTCCGAAGGAGGAGGATGCTTCTCCTCGCCCTCGATCTCAAAGCTGCAAGCCTCCAGAGGCCGTTCTCGCCCGTGGCAGAGCTCGCAGGGCGCAGGACGGTTTCTCACCTGAAGCTTCCAGATCTGTTTGCTCTCCTTGGACACTTGGCCCACCGTCTCCCCCATGAGGGCGATCAACATGTTGAGCAGGAGGACGAAGGTGAGGATGATGTAGGTGACCAGCAGGATGACGAAGACGCCGGGGTACTTGGCGTTCTCAATCATCTCCAGGTCACCCATGCCGATGGTCAGCTTGAAGAGGTCCAGGAGGAAGGTGCTGAAGGTCCGGCTGTCACGGCAGGAAGAGCTGGCGGGCGCCGTGCAGTTGGAGCGCTCCTCGTTGCAGCCTTCGGCGTTGGGGCACGGGTTCAGCAAGGACACTAGGGCTGCGGGACCGGGGACAGAACCAGGGGTGGTCAAAGGCAACCCACGGAAAAGGTGATCCGGGAGGGTTATGCCCTCCTGTGAACGTCCCTCCTTCCAGGATCTCCACCCCACCCAAAGGATCGTGTTGTCCTCTTTGCAGACTGCGCCCCCCCCAGACTCAGCATCCTTCTCACCTGACGCGTAGCCGATCATGAAAAGCACATAGACAAGCAGGAAGCGGAAAAGGTCTTTGAACAGGATCTGCATGAGAGAGAGAGAGAGAAGAATCAGACCCTCCGAACCACCTTTGCAGATCACGCCACGAATCCACGCGTGACAGTGCAACCCACCCACCCATTTCCCTTTTGGGTTGAATGAACCCAGCAAATCTGTTAATAGCAACGAGGTTGCTGGGGAGGGCTTGGATTGCATTTGTGCTTTTTTACTCTTGGGAGGCGACGCTTATACAGCACTCTAGCAGAAGCAATGTTTAGCCAGACTGGGCCAGAATATAAAGTTATACTTTTATAATATAAAGTATTATCCTAATGAACCCCTTCAGGGGAAAAACAGCTAGTTTAACGTCAAGCTCTACATTACAGATAGCATATAATTAGAAGAGGAAATTCCTTAAGTGCTGAAAGCATCTGGTTGCCTCCAGAGGAACTTTTCAGCGAGGGAAGTACAAACTCTGATGGCTCCACCAAGGTCTCTTTAAGGCGATGTCCCCAGGAGGCTGCTTGGCCCTCCGACTCAACCTCTTCCCCACTTTGCCCAGTGGGTGCCCAGAGGCCCTCTCCGCCCCCCCCCCTCACCTTCTGGATCATGATGCTGTATGTTCCCGTCAGCTTGAGGCCTCGGGTGAAGTAGAGGGCGTTCATCCACCCCAGGACCAGGGCGAAAACCATTACGGCCAGGTAGGCCTCGATGCCGGCCAGGTACAGAGCCGCCGCGACCAGGACCAGGACGGAATAAATGAAGCTGGAGAAGAAGACAAGGCCGTGGATCAAAAAGGGCCAGAGAAAGGGCCGCCAGGTAGGAAGGGAGCTCAGCCCTCTCGATGGTCTCATCTTGTAGCTTTGCCCCTGCAGGGTGGTGAGAAGATTTGGGCAGGGTGGAGGGAGGTGGCCGTAAGAGGCTTCTCCCCGTAGGTCCTGGGTGTGTGTGTGGCAAAGTGCCCGGGCACCTGAGGAGGGGGGGCGTGGTGGCACCTTTGCCACATACACCCCCAGGACCTACGGGGAGGAGCTTCTTCCAGCTTCTTCCGGCCACCTCCATGTCATCACTTATTATTTCGCTTCTGACTTTGCTGCTTTTCATTCTGTCAGCCACCTTGGGTCCTTGCAGAGAAAGCTGGCCTATAAATATTGCAATTAACTCATTCACTAAATGGTTGGAAAAGTTTCCTTTAAGATCTGCTCACTCCAGAATCTGGAGCCGACCCTTTCCCAAGCCAGCCCGGGGTGCCCTCCTGAGTCTGGGGTGCCAGCTTCTATCTTCCCTGGTTGTTAGCTGTATTGGACCGGGGCTAATGGGAGATGTAGTCCAAAGTAACTCGTCGGCACCTCCATGGTTCAGCTTTCTCCGATAGCCACTTCTGAGGAAGCCCCTCCAAAGAGAGGCACCCCATAATAGTCACACCCCAAACCTGGGAGTCTTGCAAGCAGACCCTGGCAAGTCGAGAACACCCAGCAGGCGAATAGCTGGGGAAGCCCCAGCGACGTGTCTTCAACTCCAGAACGTGGGCTGAGCCGGATCATTTTTGGACCAGCTCTTTCTTTGGACTACAGGACCCAGAATTCCAAGCTCTGCTTGCCGCTGGAAAGGTTCACAGACCTGACCGCTGTTGGATAACCGCCCCCCCCCAAAAGCAGGCACTCCCAGTGAACGGGCCCGGAAGAGGACCAATTGATTTCCTCTTTCTAGACGGGCTTACTCACTAGAGTAACTGAAAAGAGCCGTCGATGAAAAAGGAATTCACTCCCGGGCATTTCTTCATGAAGAGGTCTTTGAGCTGGGGAGGAAGCGAAGGAAGAGAGAAAGGGTTAGACCTGGAAAGGATGTGGCAGGCGACGGCCTCGGTCTCTTTTTTAAATCCTGGGAGCCACTTAGAGTCCCCTTATTAGAAGAAAGGCCGCCTCTAAATAGGACAAGAAAATAACAATGAAAGATGGGGAAAACATTTTGCAGAGATGTGCGAGGGGAGTGAATGACGGAAACACACACACAGAGCAAGGTCACACTCAGCCCACACTTACGTTGGTGAAAAAGAAAAGGATCCCCGTGAAAAGGGTGGTGATCTCCCCGGCAAGGCGCAGGTAGTCGGTGGTGGTGATGTATGGATACGGAGGCTGGAAGGAAAGGCGGTGGATTGGCGGTCGCGCTTCAGAGGGCCACAGACTACAAATCCCATCGTCCCTCACCTGTGGCCATCCTGGCTGGGGCTGATGGGAATTGCCAGCCAGCCACCTCCAGAGGGCCAGGCAGATGAAGAGGGAGCGGGAACATAGCATTTCATTGCATTTATCCCAACCCTCCCGATCTTTAGTCAACACCCTCGTCTAAGCTCTTTTAAACTGGAGATGGGTTTTTACGTGGGGGTTTCATGCAAGGAGTGTTTTAAGGGTTCGATCGGTTTTGCGGTGTTCCAGCCTTCTAATGTTTTTGTGGGTTTTTCTTTTGCCCGTCTTTGTCTCTCTCTGATTTTCATCTTGCCATGAGCCCTCTTTAAGACAAATGAGCAATAGAAGCCGGGGAAAGAAATAATGAATTAACTAATCAAGCCTTCACCAAGGAAGGGGTGGGGTGGGTGGGGGGTCCTTTTTTCATTCTCTCTCTTTCCTTCCGGGCTTGTCTGGCCGTAAGACAAGCTATAAAAATAACAGATCAATAAGTTACAAGGCCCTTGTCCTTTACTGTTTCCAACAGGCGGAACATGGTAAAAGCACTGTGTAAAACCACAACAATAAATCCACTCGTTATTTGAGCGTTTGCAGCCTAGAGTGATCAGCTGTGGCCTTTTTGGGGTGCTTTTGCTCTGCAACTTGTTCACAAAATTTCTACGGGAAGTTATGTGATTTTGTTTTTGCTCCTGCTCTGTCGTGAACTGCTTTGAGCCCATTGACTATAGAAAGGGAGTAGGGAAATAAAGCTGTTTTATTGGCTGGTTAGATCTTCCATCGTCCTAGCCTTCGAACTCAAGACCCAGGTGGGGGAAATTGAAATAACAGCCTTCTCTTGTGAAATGGTGGGAAGTTGGAATGGATATCTGAGAGCATTGATTTCACCCCCTCTGGTGTTCCCCAGTCTCACAGTTTCCCTCTTCCCCCTGGGGGGGGGGGAGAGGAATCTGCAGTACTCACGATGCCCTCCAGGGGGCGGTAGTAGGAGACCAGGGTAAAGATGATCATGGCGCAGAGGTAGGAGACCACGCTGATGTAGAAGGAGACGGCGCCAAACTTCCGCCACTTGTCACGCAACAGTTCGTTGATGGGTTCCACGGCCAACATCTCGTGGCGGTTCTGGATTCGAGGAGGGAGGATAGACAAGACACATGGAGCACAAGGCGAGGCACCAAAACGGCAGAGCCTTTGACTTGAGAAGGCAGGGAGCAGCGGACCCCCCGTCCCAAGTTATCCACGGGGACTCCTCGAGTCTCCTTCATCCTGGGATGGGGTCCCCAGTTGCAAAAGGTTAGCCGTAAAGCTCATGCGTTGACGTGAATTCGAAAACGAATTTATAGCATCCATTGCTTTTCCCAGTTACAACCGGGCCCTGGGTTTTCAGATCTTTCGGACGACGAAACTCACCGTTCTCTATTCTGGGGATTCCACCCGACCCACAGACGCTCCTCCACACCCATAAAAAGAACATTGTTGGAAAATTAACGAATGATGGGGAACGAAATGTTTTGGAGCAAATTGTTTCTGAGCCTGCCTCCTGCTCCCCCCCCCCCCCCGCTTCGGGTCCTCCCTTCCCTCGCTTTTGCTGTTGTAAACCAGGATCTCCAGCACGGAGACGTCTTCCCCACAAGTGTCGAGGGAGGAGAGGTCGTAGAGGGAAGAGTAGACCGGCCCGTAGGCCCAATCCTTGAACTTGCGGGAGAGATGGCGGGCGTCCTCGTCCTTGATCTCCCGGCGGATGATGTGCTGGAAGATCTGGGGGCAGAAAACAGAATTCTGTGGCTGGTCTCCGAGGCTTCCCGGGCATTCAAGAAGGATGCTTTCTGTGCCCTGCCTGGAAGAGGTCCAGGATCAAACCTGGAGCCTTCTACCTGTTGAGATGCTCTACCACTGAACGAGCAAACCAAGGTTCTAGTCCTCATGCTTCTAAATAAAGATTTCAGTCACATCTAGGAAACCAGGCTGGTGCTTTCGATTGAATCAGCCTATCTGCCTCATTAAGGGTGTGTGTGTGTCTACCTGCTCCCCTTCTAAGGATGTGTCAATGGGAGATAGTATCTGCTTTGACGACTCAGGGGCAAGCGGCGGGGAGGACCCTTAAGGAGCGGGTTGAACCTTCGGTCCACGAGCCCAGAGTTGGCTTCCCCTCCTTCCCTCTCCCCGTGCCGTCCATCCATCCCACCCATCCATCGGCTCCTTCCATCCATCCACCTCACCCCAATCTTTCCGGTTTTGGCGGCCATCATGAGCGGGGAGAGTCCGTCGTTGTTGAGCAGAGCTTCCAGGTTGGTGTCTGGGAAGAGCTTGGCACCCTTGATGAGCACCAGGTCGTACATCTTGGTGACGAACTTGGTGTTCTCCCGGGTGTTGTCGGCGATGGCCACCAGGGCGTGGAGCACCGTGTTGCCCCGCGAGTCCTGGCGCCGGAGGTCGGCCGGCTTGTGGGCATTCTCCGTCAGGTAGTGGACGATGTGGGGCTGGTTGGTGCAGGCGGCCAGGGAGAGGGGCAGCTCCCCTGCGAGGGAGGGGTGGGGGGGGAGAGAGAGGTGATTCCAAGGGCTTGCAAGAGATCCTTCACCCGGCTCTACCAAGGGAGGAAAACCCACAACTTTGCTGGCTGCAAATTGTGGGGCATTTCCTGATTTATGTTAGAATCTGACCCAGGGAGAGAAATCTTGTTTGCCCACCTCTCAGGTCAAACGCACCCAGAATTGCTACCCTGCTTCCAGTCTCCTCGAAACCCCCCTTTTTCTGCACAGCCTTTGGGCCAAACCCTTTCTCTCCAACCACCACCACCCCCCCGGTTCCTCTCTTCCCCTTTTCTCTTTTCTCTGTCGGAGCTGAGACTGGAAGATCTTTGCGGCCAGGGACCACGTCCTTTTGCGTATGGGGCTTGGCGCCTTGTCCGTGGCCGGCATGACACGTGCAAGACGGAGCCTCCTGTGCATGACAGACAGACGTGGCCTGCCACGGAGGCAGAATGGCAGAGCCTAGCGGGCGGGGGGGGAGAACAGCCTCCCAGTCGGAGACCCTCCACTCCTGCTCACCAAAGTAGAAGTAGCCCCCTTCGTCCTTGGGTTGGAAGAAACGGCCACGAGCCTGGGCGTGGACGTCGGCCCCTTTTTCCACCAGCAACTCCACGTAGTGTTTACATCGGCGCTCAATAGCAATATGCAGAGCAGTCTGGCCTGGGAGGTGGGGGGTGGGCAAAAAAAGAACAATCATCCTCACCACTCTTCATTTCTAACCCCGTGAAAGTGAGTATTCGCTGGGACTCTGGTGGCAGGCTTTCATTGGAGGCGCAAACTTTATCCATCAGGCTTGCAAAGTAAGGCTGTCACAAAACAAAGCCCAGCAAAATGCAAGACAGGGGAGGGAGGGGAAGGCAGGCACTGTGACCAGCAGACACTTTTCATGGCTTGAAGGAGCACCACTTCTAAGTATGTGCCAAGCGTCCTGTCTTGACAGAGCTAAAAGGAAACCTTTGGGTCATCGAGTCCAGCCTCAGGCAAGGAGGCCCCGTGGGGGGATTCGAACCCCCAAGGGAGAGCCCGCCAGTCGCCCTTTCCGTCAGCGCTCCAGCCCAGCCCTCCTCTCCCAGGGTGACTCGTGGGCCTGAGCCGAGAGAGGCCTCCAGTCCTGGCCCAGCCCTTCTCCTACCTCGATAGTAGACGTCGCGGAAGGGAGAGTTGATGAACTCCCGGAGGTTGCCCGTCTTCTCCGCGATCTCCAGCAGCAGCGGGATGGTCTCGTTCTTGCTGTTGTGCAGGTTGAGGAGTGCCTTCGGGAGGCAGGTCTTGCCCGTCGAGGGTTCTGGGGGGCAAAGGAGGAGGAGGAGGAGGGTCAGAGGAAGCCCGGCGAGAGCAGAAACCAGGTTGCCCGTGCTTAACGGGGTGAACCAAAAACCAGGAGGCGCGTCAATCGGTCGCTGGCAAAAAGCAGCTCGGCCGGACATTTCCGGTGGGTTTTTTTTTTTCTGCCCACCGGAGTCTTGGCCTGCCCTCCACCTTTTGCATCCTGTGCCATGGAGGTGTTCGCCTTTTTGTGCTTACAACTTCGGTGTGTTTGTTTTCTAGAAACCTTCTGGTGAGCAGCTGCCTCGTTCGCCCATCCGTTCTACTCATCTGGTGTGTTTAGTTTTCATTCAAAGGATGTTCCTGAATTCAGGAGGCACGCCGGTCCTCGGCTCCCAAAAACTGCTCTGGCTGCAGCTTCTCCGGCCAAAGTGCGCCCATCATCCTCTGCCCAGCTCTGCCTCCCCTTGAGACCTCGCTGAATTCTCATACAAATGGGGGTCCCCCTTTCTCCTCCCTTTTTTCGGGGGGGGAGGGTTCCTCCTGTCTCCCCTTCTCCCTCGGCCCCAAACCCCACGCACCTCGAAACTCCTCGTCCGTCAGCCGCTTCTTGTGGGTCAGCAGGAACGGGAGGAGGCCGTCCAGGTCCTCCGTGAAGCCCCGAGAGACGATCTCGAAAAGGATGGGCCGGTTGAAGACCTTGAGGATGCGGGGTGGCTGGGGGGCAGGCCCCTTGGCGCTGGGGCGTTTCTTCCTGGGGAGAAGAAAGAAGACCCATGAGAAAAAGGCAGCGTTGTCCCAGGAAAAGGCTGAATAAAACAGGGCACCCCAAAACTCACCCAGCATCAACACAACCTGGTTAATATGGGGGGGGAACATGAGTCAGGAAGGGCCTCACTAAACCCCCTCCCCCAATTCTGGCAGGAAGAAAACTCATAAAACCCAAGGAAATGATGTTCTTTCACGACACTCAAAATCTGCCCCTCGGAGGCAGCGACCTCCCCCCTGCCTCGTGAATGACGGAGCATCCGTGTACGAAATTTCCCCTCCTGGCTATGTCCATGGGGCGGCTCTCCGGCCTTCCAGTCCCCGATGTGGGCAGGACGCCTTTGGCAAGTGGGTGCCCGTGGAGGAACTCTGCCCAGGAGCAGAGGAACCCTTTATCACAAACGGCCACGTTCCAAGGCTTTCCAGCTGGGCGGGTGGGGGATCAAAATCCCCGGCTGATAACTTTATCCCAACAGTGCCACTTTTTCATCCCACAAACGCAGAACGGGGTGTGTGTGGCTGAGCCTGGCGTGGCCCTGGAGGCTCCAGCCTCTTTATTGGCCGCCTCCTGGTGCGGACAGGCTGGCTTCTCCTCCCAACATACCTGGCAGGGACCCAACCTGGAGGAGGGAAGAGGTGGGAAGCCTCCCCCTCCCTCCCTCCCTCCCCTGCTGGCGTGACCGAGGTGCCAGTGGTGCCCACCCCTGGCGGAGGGAGTGGCTGGCCCTCCCCTGCCATGACGGAGGGGTGGAAAAGCTTCCTCAAGGGGGCCATTCATCCCCTGCTTTCCCTCCCCGCAAGCCCAGCCAGGGGCACAGGGCGGGGGAAAAACCCCACAGAGCAGCCTTTCAGGCGGACACACTCTTAGGCCCCTCCAGAACAGCGTTGCTTCACCGGCGCGACGGGGCAGCCCCACCTCCCGAGGGTTCCTGGCTGGCACACCCGTCACGGTGGCGGCAGAGCCCCTTGCCCGGTTCCCAGATGTGCCTGCCCGTCTGGAGGTGAAAAACCTTCTTGCTATCCTCAAGAAAACCCTCTCGGTCACCCCATTGCACGTGACGAGGCCCAGCGGCTGGGGGTGCCGGTGGACGACCCTCCGAGGCCGACGAGGGTCTCGTGGCCCCTGAAAGCCCTCCATTGTCACGGATCTCCAGCCCATTGTGGCTTCTGCTTGAGGACTCTTGAAGCAGGCTTCAGGGGTCACACAAGACTCTCCAGGGCAGACAAACCCAAGGGTTTTTATGGTGTCACAGGATGCTTTGAGAAACGGGGGCTGCCATACTCACTCCAGGACTTTCTTCCGCCGCCACTTGTTGTCGCTCGGGTGGTGGCGGTAGGTGCCGTAGTCGAAGAGGGAGTCCATGGGGGCTTTCTTGGGTCCCGGCACCACCGAGGACTCGTAGATGGTGGACTCCAGCAGGTCCATCGGGTTGGGGACGCCCTTGCGGAAGGCCCCGTGGAACTTCATCCGCAGGTTTTGCTTGCCGTCCCCCGAACCCGGCAGGCTCTTGGCTGCGTCTGGCGCGGCCGGGCCGTCTTCGTTCTCGAAAAGGTTGGCCAGCGAGGAGAGAGGGAAGGCGTCGTTCTGGGGGCTGCCATCATCGCTCGGGATCTCCGCGGTCTCGCCCGGGCTGGGGAGCGGCGAATCCTCGGGCTCTCCCATGGCGACTGTAGCGAGGGGTGAGGGGGCTCGTCCGTTATCTGCCAGAAGTAAGAGGAACTTAGCGCCAGGGTGTTGTAACAGAGCTCTGAAGCTTCTAGTAGGTGAGCTGAATCCCTCTTGATTCAGAGCAGAGGGGCTGCCTTTGTGCTCACTCTAGATCTACAGGTAGATTGGTACTCTCTGGCTTCCCTCCTCTCTCATGGCGATAGAATCTGTCACTTCCTGCTTCTCCTCCTGACTCAAGAAATGGGGATTAGCAAACCTGCATGCATAGAAGCCGACTCTAGGGATGCCTCTATCTAAATTTAGGGTTCTTTACCCCTCCTGTGTTACCCATAAGTGGATTTCTTTAAAGGCAATAAAAAGTAAGGTGGTTCCCCCCCACACACACCACTTTTGCCTAATACCAGGGCGACAACTTCTCCTCAAGAGTCCCAAGCTGCACACAAGGCCTCCACACCCTGGAAAATTAAAGATCGTACTCCTGACAAGAAAAAAGTGAAGTGATGCCGGGGGGGAGGAGGCATCATCACTAAATCCTGGAGAGAGCCGGGGTGTTCAGTTTATGAAGATCTGTGACTCTTCGGAGGAGGAGAGGTTTCCTTTGGGTGCTGCTGTCGGTCAGCGGAGGCGTCTGCCAAGGCTCTGCAGGATGCCTGAGTTCCAGGAATGAACCTCCTTCTCTTCCCCCCCCTCAAAAAAAGAGCTAGGTTTCAACCACCCCCCCACCTCTGCGCTCGGGTTCAAAAGAGCTGAGATGAGGGCTCTGGACGAAGGAACGAAGGAACGGACAGGCAGCACATCCGCCATCCAGCTCTCCAGGTGATGATAGGGGATTTTTTGGGGGGAATAGGACCAGGAGGGGAGGCGCTGCCTGACATTTCTCAGGTCTCTGCCCTTCCCCTTGGCCAGCCTCCCATCACACGCACACACACACACACAAACACTGGCTGCTTTCCTTGCCTCCCAACGGCTGCACAGAGGGCCTTTGAGCAGGGACGGTGTGTGTGGCTGGACAGCGGCTCGCCCACGCCCAGATGAGGTGGCTTCGGGCAGGAACGCCACCCGCGGCCCTGGGAACAAGGAGGGCTTTGACCGCCCTGCAGAGGCACACCGGCCAGGCCCCGTCCGACACCCCCCCCATCCCAAGTCTCCCTCAGGAATTTGGGCGCGGAGGGCAGACAAGACAGCCGGCCTTCTCCCAAAGCACCGCTGCTGGGCCTGTTGAAGTCCCACCAGGTTCCTCCGCCAGGTGGTTCTGGGCAACGTGGTCAGGAGACCGGTGGGGGCTCCTCCAGATGTTTCTGGACTGCCACTCCCACGATCCTTCAGCCCTGGCTAGGAATGATGGGGAGTAGCCGTCCGACAAACTTGAGCCCCAACGACTTCTAGAAGCCCACAAGTGGCTCACCCCTCCTGCACGGGACGACCATGTCCCATTCCTTGGTTGGACTACAACACCCAGAATCCCCACTGCAGCCAGGCAGCGAGTTCCAGTGAAACACAGGAGATGCCCAAGCTCAGATCCTGAGAGAGAAAGCCAATGTTTTTCTGGGCTGCCAACTTAGGGAAACACCACCCCCCCCTGCTCCCATGTTGAACAAATCAGAAAACACTGCTGAGAAGGTTTAAGATTTCCTGGGAACGTGGAGGGCTTCCCCCCGCCTCCCCCCCCCCAGGGTCAGCTGAAACGAGACCACAGGAAAAGTTCCTCCTTTCGTTTCCCATTCCCTGCCAGCACAGCAAACGGCCCCTTGGAGATGCTACTAAGCAGGGAGGAGGGAGGCATTTTCCCAGGAGTCAAGACCTTTCTGGGTTTCAGGAAGGCATGGGTGTTTGGGGGGGAGAGCAGGGGGGGGAAAGAGAAAACCTAGTCATTTTCCACTTGCCGACCTCCGTGTCCAACAAGGCCCGGCGTGGGCTAGGCTCGTCCAGGCACCGGGCCGGCTTTGGGGCCTCTCATTACCAAGCATGTCATTACAAGAAAGCGACAGCAGCAGCGGCTAAATTGAATCTAATCCACGTCCAGCCCACTCCGCCAGCGGTTCCCAGCCTCGGGTCGCCAGATGTTCTTGGACTACAGCTCCCAAAAGCCTTCGCCACTAGCTGTGCTGGCCGGGATTTCTGGGAGTCGTAGTCCAACAACCTCTGGGGACCCAAGGTTGGGGGACCACCGGTCTCAGTGAATGGCCGCCTCCCGTTTGTGCTCACCCGGGACTTGGTGGCCGACTGCCCTGTCCAAATAAATGTTTGTATTGTTTGGGATTCCAGAGCCCAGAATCCCCGGCTGGCTGGCAGATTGGAAGGGTTCTAGGTCGGAAAAGGAGGCTTCGCTCCTGTCCAACCTGCCAGACAGACGGGATATATAAACATGTAATGAGGAGGCATGTCATGATTCGTGGAGAGGCCAACGAAGGAACTCTACCCGGTCGTAACACAAAGCCAGGCTTGTTAGTGAGCTGGCTGCGCGTTGGCCACTGGCCCGTGCCACCCACTGGCCACCTTTCAGTTTGCCTTCCAGAAACACCTGGCAAAGTGACTCATTTCCTTTCCCACCACAGGGTTGGCCCGGCATGGCTAAGACAAGGCCGGACAAGGTCGCCTTTCGAGGCCAGGAAGAGCTTCTGAGCCTCCTCCTCCTCCTTGGTGGTCAGGAATCGGGAGGAAAACGGCCACTCGAAGGATAAAGTTCTCTGCCAGGGCCAGGAAAAGCCCAGGCAGGCTCTCAACTCGCCCTGAGGAGGCAAAGCAGGGCCGAACAAGAGGCTGCAACGTAACAGGAAACCGTCTGTTGGCACCTCCAAGACTCTCTAAGGCGGCAACCCAAATCTGGACGTGGGCCCTGCCCGCTGCTTTTGGGCCAGCCTGAGAGGTTTGGAGGCTCTGGATGGAACAGCACCCATGGGTGACAGCCAAGTTGACAGCATGCAGGAAACAAAATGTGTTTGAGGATTCTTTTCCCCAGAGAAACCCATCACAAAACTGTTGTTGCCATCATGCTCATCCCCTAATTTTTTTGGGGGGGGGAGAAATCAAGATTGCATGGCCCCCCACCCTGCCCGTTTCAAAGCCGGACAGACTTGCAGGCGAGATATTTCTCATCACGCACGTTGCACAGAGGGGCTCAGCCGGTTGTGGTCGGAGCCAAAGAGGGAGGCTTCGCGCGAAGCAAAGATGCATGTCAGTCTGGACCGTTTTCTTATCAGTGGTGTATTTCCCCCTACAAAAACGGGACCCACTTAACCCAGGCCTGGGTGGGCAGGCGGCTGGTTGCTTGGCGTGTTATTAATTCCGCTGCAGCTCAACCCCACAATCTCGAAACCCCAAGAGCCGCCCTGAAAGCAGGCCAGGCTTAAAATATCCAGAGGCGGCCTCTCCGAGGGCCTGGCGCTGGGGCCGAATGGTGGGGCTCCCTCCGCCTCTGATGTGGTCTCCCGTCCGGGACACGTTCAGGGCCTCCACCCAAGCAAAGAGACCGAATCAAGGGAGTTGTCTGAAAGCTGGGCCGTTTCTGCCCTGGGGCCGTTAATTCCCTCACTGCTTTCTATCGCACCATGAGGTGGAGGCTTGGTTACAAAAATCAGATTAGCCGCTTGCCGTGGTTACAGTAAGGTCCCTGTGGAGCGTTGCGGGATTCTGCGGTGAGAACCCTTACAGGACAACCTCCCGTCGGTCTCCCAAACAAGCATAACTGCTCAAGAGCCAGCATTTGGACAAGATATTTCCCCCTTTTTCCTCCAAATCCCGAAATTCCCCAGCCAATTGGGGAGATTTCGGGACTTGTAGTCAAAACAGGAAACACCTTCCCTAAACTTTGCTCAGACCCCATCAATCCTGCCCTACAAGAGCAACTACGCAGGGTCTGAGCAGAATCTGGCTTTCTGAAGAGCGGGGCTTGGTCTGTAAAGAAAGACACAGCACATAATATTTCAGTCACCGCTTGGTTTTTCCAGAAGCATCTCTAGCCTGCAATAGACTTTCAAATCTGTTCCAATTCCTCCCCTAAATGTAGTTATTTTAGGAAGCCTCTAATTCAGAATGTGGGGAAGTGGCCTTGGAAGACACACGGACTCTATGAACTATCTTGTTCTGCTCTAAGTATTTCATTTGCTAGTCCTCGTCTCTTTCTATTATTTTTATTTATTCGTATCAGCGTGTTGCACAATTTAAAATGATGGACGTAGAAGAAACATAGGTAGTCCAATAGCAGGCTCTCGCGAAACACCGCACGCCACAGCAAACCAGGAGTGGGCGGAACGTGGAATGAACGCTCGGCCCAGAAACGAGAAGAAGAGGGCCACCAGCTCAAGGCTGGAGAAACTGAATAGGGAACACCTCCGTGGGAAACCTCTAGAACATCTGGGCACCGCTGGGCAGACAAAGCACAAGAAACTATCCACAAAGAGATGAAACAAGGGCTCCTGTGAGGGGCTCAGGGTCTATTCACTTCCTTTATTCTGAACTTCCCCATCTGGTGCTCACCCCGGGAGTTTTTCACCACTGCTCCCATCATCCGCAGCCCGTATGGCCTGGCCCACTCGTTCCACTAAATACCCGTTTAGTGGAAGCTGGTTTCATGAGTGGTTTGCAAGGCTCTATGCTCCTTCTTTTCAACTTCCCCGTGTTTTCATTTCAAAAGACACAAAAAGCCCCAAGAAAAACGAAAGAAGAAACAAGCCCCAACGTTTTGTAAATAATTTAGCAACTTTGTAAAAGAAATCATTTCCTCCGCCCATCCCCCTTTTTCACACACAAATCCTACTTTTCTACAGGAAGTGAGAAGGGTTTCTTACCCGGCTGGTGCCGTGCTTTCAGGCCGCTTTGCATTTGATGGTTTTAATACGATAACGCTAATGATAAAGAGTTGTTTAACTGTGCCTTAATATCAATACTTGCTCTCTTTTTAATTGCATCATTATTTGCTTATTTTTTTAAAAAAGATGATTAGTATGTGCCACCTGGAATCCCAGTCTTGGGAGAAAGACGGGACATGAATGAATTGTATTTTTAAAATGACATCTGAAAAGTGGCATGCCCAAGGGCCTTACCCAAACCTGTGGCGGAGGAGAATCCCAGCCCCTGGTCTCTCAGCTGTTACCTCATTCCCCGTCCTGAGGTCAGGCCAGAGAAGGGAGAGACACCCACCCAACCAGATCCCGGGTTTTCGCCCTCGTGTCCTCACCAGATGGTCTCTGCCCAGCCCTTCACACCCAGGGAGGGAAAAGGAGGTCAGAAACTGGCGAGGTGACGTCAGAGGGGCGACGGGCAGACTCACCCAGGCCAGGCCTTGCTTCTTCGCTTCTCCCGGCCGCCCAACTGACCATCCTCTCCTGTTTTCTTAAAAGCGTTTGTAGAATTTCACAGGTCCGGGGATTAAAGCGGCTGGCTTGGCAACCGGCACACGGCGGCCCGGCCAGTTTTTTCCACACAGAGGCGGCCTCTGTTCTCCAGGCGCGGGACGGCGGCGGGAGAGAGAGCGAGAGCGAAACCAGGTGACGGACGAGGAGCCTCGGATCTGCTTGGCAGGGGCTTCCTCGTTTGCCGGGCGGCCCTGCCGGGGCCGTAGAGAAGCCACGGGGGCAAAAACAAAATGTTATTCATTCATAGACGAGAGGCCCTCAGAGGAGGGCCACCTCTGCTTCCCTGCGTGAGTAACTCTCCTTCCTTCCCCCCAGTCTGCCTCTGCTAGAGCCATACGGGGCAAATTTCCCACTACATCTCTTCGTTAACCCTGATAGTAGGGATGCATCACATCCAACAAGGAGATGCAGGAGAAGAATCCGTTGCAACTCTGTAAGAGTTCCTGCCCTCTGTGCAATTCCTTCCAGTCAGAATATTTAAAAAGGGGCCGGGTGGTAGATTTGGGTCAGAGCAAATACACTCTTCGCCTCACACTTTCCTGACGGGTCTAAGGGAAACTAGGGTGTTAGTTGTGGCACACGCCTTCCACCCTTAACCCTGGCACAGCCATCTCGTGGGGAAGGATAGGATCCCGCACTCGGGACCTGAAGAATTGGAAGCCGCAGTCTTTCCAGCAATTTAAGATCCAGATACAAATACACGGATGGTTCTTGTCTACCATTCTATGATTTTTGGTGAAGCTCTCCAAACCCCCGAGTGTTATGTGCAGAGTGTTGTTATGCCTTTCTCCCTGGTTTGTTTCACCCACAGCCCCAAAAAGCATCTCCTTTTCTGACTACAGCTCCCAGAATCCTCCTCCCGCACGGCCGTTATCCAAACTGGCCGGAGGATTATGGGACCTGTGGTTTCCAAACCCATCCCCCAGTGTTTCCAAGGCCTGACTTTTTAGAGGCCACAAGGCTCCTGTACACAGAGAGATTATCTCCACAAAAGGAGGCAATAAAACTGACGATGCCAGAACCAGCCCTTCCTGGAGTTACAGGGGAGCGAGCGGCTGCCTCCTCCGTCCTGCGCCAGGAGGAATGGCTTTAGAGCCATGGAATGATTGGCGGGAAAGGGCCACTGAGTAAACGAAGAAATGCAAAAGGAAAAGCAAAGCAAAAAAGCCAAACAGCCTCTTACCCAGCGGCCTGGGAACGGACGACATGACCCAGGGAGGCAGACGGCTTAATCCTTGTCCAAAGCCCCAGGAATGCCATAAAACGCCATCTCACGAATTCCAGGTGGCCAGCCGCCCACCGCCAAGCCCTTTCCCGAGCCACCCCTGTGGACCTCAAAGAGGCCCGTCCCCCCCCCCACGCCATGCCCCGTGCCAAACCCGGACCAAGGGGACTCGGAGGCTCATCTTGGCAGCTTTGGATTGGCTCCCTGGATTTTGCACCTCTGCCCCTTCCTCTCAGCCTCAGTTCCCCTTCTGTAAAATGGGAACACCCACCCCTTGCCGCTGATGACTGCGCTCGGTGAGTTGTCGAGACATCAGAAGTGGGTGCGGAGACGGGTACGACAAGAGGACCGAATCCTTTCCTCTGGCAGATTTGTCACCCCAGTGCCTGTCCCCTCCTGTCCCAGACACTCAGGATAGCTCTGTTCCTCCCTGTTGTCTCACCACAACAGCTCTGCAGGGTAGGCCAGGCTGACGACGGGTGGCTGGCCCAAGGTGGCCCCTTTGCTTAGGGTGAAGGACCAACTGAGGAGAGAAGGGGGGCCCTCCTGATAGAGTGGGCTATGCAACCCTCGAAAAACCTCCGTCCAGACAGAGATGCTCGGCAACACCAATGATTTCTGGTAGGCAAAACGCTGGGCTTCCTCCTTGAGATCCAGACACCCACCCAGACACCCACCCACCCACCTCGCTTCTTCAGCCATTGTAGGAAGCCTGCTTGCCCCCTTCTGCCCGGGCTGCTCCTGACCCCTTGAAAAGACCCCACACAGTCTCTTCTCCTCCTCACCTTTGGCCCCCTTGGGCTTACCTTAACGTCCGGAGCGTGGCCCCCATCCACCACGGGGGTCAAAAGGGACGCTTCCAAGTCCTCTGTTTCCCTGGGTTGAAAGAACTCATTCCTCAAGGCAGAAGGTGGGTGCCCAGGTGCCCCACTCCTTCGCTTCCACAAGTCCTGCTAATTTTTCCGGAGAAACAGTATTCCTCGGCACACGACGACGCCAGGGAGCCAGGAGGGGTTTGGGGTGGGTTGGGGGTGGAGGACAGCTGATGGCCGGTGGAAAGGCAGGGAGAGAGGCTTGCTCCCAGAT